ATTCTATTCACACGAATTCACCGAACTCATCAAGAAACACTCGATTCAAAAGTGTGAATTTACATACGTGAATTCCTGTGAATTCTTTTGCCGTATTAATCCCCTAGAGTACTCGACAAAGTTCTCTATTTTGGTCCGTTTGGTGTAAATAAATGTATTGAATATTTTGCACTCAAGATAAAGTATCAACAAAATAACGAAAATTTGTATAATTATTATGGGATAAAAAATTAAAAAATATAGTCAACATTTTTAGCCATTCGTTCCCTTATAAAGTTATCAAAAAATGCAGCCAATGAGTACTGTCCACTTTTATTCATAGCCGAATTAATAATTCTTAGTTTGATCACAAAACATGCCAATCTTTAGATTTTCCCAATTCTATTTCTATTGAAAATATCGAGAGGAGAGTATGTTTTTATTCAGACATTACTCAGCCATAAGCGCTGAATAACATACTCTCTTCTCGATATATTCAATAGATTTATATTCATTGAAATGAGCGATGGAACCATTTGAATGTTATAAATTTTCTTTAGTTCGTGTCCAACATTGCCGCTTAAACAAAATCAGCTCAAGCATACAGTAAATAAATGAATGTTGATCTCATTTGACTCCACGCAATGTTAAATGAATGTCGTTGCCATGTCAACGACCTTTGGTATTTTATTTTCAAACTATATGTTACTCTCATACGAAGTGATCTTGAAACGGACTCGACTGTCAGAACGAAACGGACTCTATACCCCAAATTAAGAGAGGGGTTTGTCAGCCATACAAGAACTAATTAAGATCTGACAGCGTTAATGACATTCTTACAAATTACACTTATGACTACTTGCGGGGTATAAAGAGAGGTATGCACAGCACAGTATCATCATTCTACTCGCTTTTGTCAAAGTAACAAGTGCTAAATTTACGAAACTCGGTTTCTTTCCTTTCTCAACGTAAGTATAATTTTTCAAGCATAATTCTCAGACCAATAGTTCTAAACAAACATTATTTTTCATAATTTCTAGATGTCGAATATTAAATTGAAATCATCAGACGGTGAAATTATCGATGCAGATATTGAGGTGGCCAAGTCTTCTGCAATCATAAAAAGTATGTTGGACGTTTGTGGCGACGAAGATAGTGAAACCGTTATACCATTACCAAATGTAAGCTCAAACATTATACGCCTGGTTTTGGAATGGGTCGCACATCACCGAGACGAACCAATTCAAATTACTGAAAGTGGAGATAAAGAAAAGCCGATTCCAGAATGGGATGCTAATTTTCTCAAAATTGATCAAGGTAAAAACTCAATTATTACTTTCACTAAAAAAGATTTTGTTCTATTCATCGAAAATAGTTTCCGTTCACCGCACTGCACTGCACAGCATTTTCTAATTTTTTTTTCATTGCAGATCAATTGTTTGAATTAATTATGGCTGCTAATTTCTTGCAAATCAAAGAACTGTTGTATGTCTCCAGCAAAACGGTTGCAAATATGATGAAAGGCAAATCACCCGAAGAAATTAGGCTAATTTTTGGTATCGAAAGCGAGTTGAGCCCGGAAGAAGAAAAGAAGGTCCAGCAAGAGAACGAATGGTGCAAGGAAAATTGAAGAAATATCTTGAAACCGATTTTTATACCAGCGAACAACACCGAACAGTTTTTAAAAACATTTTTGATTTAAAGTAATCAACCAGTTAACTCATTTCTCATTAAACACCTAATAACTTTGCGAGTGCGTCACTTTTTATTATATCAATATTGCTTCTATCATTCAGATGTGCACCACTCTTTTTAAACTCTTAATTTTTTTTTTAAATGAATAACTACTGTATTTGTATGAACATTTGACCTTATTCAAGCTATAATTTACTTAATTAATAAATAGCTTGTTAAGAAACATAGATCTTGTACATTTTTTTAAGTCAAAAACTCTTCAAAGTAATCCATTGTAGTGCTAATTCAATGCCAATCGGTATGTACGAAATTGTAAACAGATAATAGAAACCATTTTTACACACGCATTTTTTTGTGAATTTTATCACTTGAACTGTTACCAATACGATAAGATTAGACAATTTTTAGCGTGTTGATAAGACATTTTTGTGATTAGTCTTGTTTAGATGTTTGATTTGAATATAGTGCCAAATAACTGTGTGAGTTGCTCATTGGATCATGTGAGTGAATTTGAGTAATTCAGTAATTTTTCAATAATTTTCAATCATAAAAGATTGAAGTGAAAGTTTTTAAAAAATTTCTACAGAAATAAGAGTAATCGCAGTGTCCAAATTCTTCTCAACTCTTCATACATTCTGGTATCGTGTTTATTCCTTAACTAATATTTCACTGCCAATTTTAAATCACATTTTTCAATTTCAAATGTGATTTGTTTCGCAAATCTCAATTACAATCTTATCTTAAATAAGGTAACAGAAACAAATGGAGTCTGCCCATAGGAAATTATTAAAAAACCCCGCGTAAATCAGCGAGTTGGATGTCAGTTTTATTTTTCGGATGGACAATACCGCTTTTCAAGCAGAGTTATCAGCGTGACGCGTTACATCCAAATGATGTGTTTGAACCGCTCGAGGAAGATCAATCGGATAGACTTGGTGATCGACTGGAAACGTATAACTTTTTTTTTTTAATTGAATCGTTGCGGCGAAACAGTAGCTCTTATTTTTCTCCAAATAAAACTGCAACATGAAGTTTTTTTCACACGGTTTATTTGTTGTAATACAACAAATAAACTATTCATAAAAAACTTTATGTTGCAGTATTATTTGGAGAAAAATAAGAGCTACTCTTTCGCCGCAACGATTCAATTGGGCCAAATAATAGAAAGTTAATAACAATTTCAGAAATTGGAAGTCTGAACTGAAACTACAATCATCTCCATCGTTACTAAGATCATTGTTTAAAACATTCTAGTGCAAACTGCTAATAATGGGAGTTTTGTGCTTTTTATCTCGATGTGTATGTAGCCAAATATATCCATTTTTATTAAAGGGACTCTTGTCATATTTTCGGTGAGTATTACAAGAAAATAGTTATTTATATTGAACTGTGAATTATTATTATTTCATGTTTAATCAACCACAGGGACAATTCTGAAGTATCGTTTAATGAAGCAAGAAATTATGGAGTTGGGCTTTTCACTCTTAACATTTGCACTGGAATCATCTCATTCCAATATGTGCTTAAAATGTATTACAATGGTATGAAAGTTCGCGTCGCCATTAGTAGTGTTATTTATCGAAAGGTAAAGGTGTTGACCGGTCAAAACGAATGGAGTTCCATTTTAACAATTTCATCTCTCTTTGATTAATTGTCGCAGGTACTGCGTTTGTCACAGAGTGCTTTGAGCAAAACATCTTCTGCGAAATTGGTGAATTTGCTCTCAAATGATGTTCAACGATTTGAATCTATATCCCAAAATGGATTGTGGGTACCACCGGCAGCATCAATTGTGGCAACATATATTTTATGGAATGAAATTGGTTGGGCTGCCATCAT